TCCCCCCTCTCATCGCCCCTCGCTCCGTGCCCCTCGATCTTCCCGCCGCCGCCGCCCTCCCCGGCCCAGCCCCCCCTCTCCTCTTCGATGGGGGAGGGGGCGGGGCGGGAGTGCGGGGGTGCGTCGAGTGGCGCATTCGTAGCCGAGTGAATGCACTAGCAACGCCCTCAGAACTTCAGGTCGAGGTCGGCGGGGGCCCTGGGGGCATCTGAGAATTCCATGTTCCGCGGCCCCGTGGACTCCATGGGCCATGGGTCTGTGAGATGCAGAATTCTCAGACACCGTAACAAACGTGAGAATTTAACTGCACGCTGATTGGGCGTGCGAAACAAACGCGGCCGAGGACTGGGCCCAGGGGGGGGGGCGCTGCGCCGCGTTGCATCCGAGCCCAGCAGGACCTCAGCGGCAACGCAGCACCGCGCACGCCAGATGATCTACTTGGACACTTTCACCTGGGGCGGCAGCAGCAGCAGCAGCAGCAGCAGCAAGCGCAGGCAGCACCGCTGCAGCTTGCACAGCACGACGATGACAGCAGCAGCCGCAGCCGCAGCCGCAGCAGGCGCAGGGACCGCAGGGAGTCCATGCTGTCCAACGCCTCCAACGCCAGCGCGGCCGACGCCAGCGCCGCGGGCCCAAGGACATGGGTGCTCTGTGCACACGTTGCAACATTGATCAGTAAAGGGGGCACCGCCCTCTGCCTCATGCCCAACCCCACCCCGCCCCGTCCCCCATTCCCTGCTGAGGCCCTGGGGAGGAGATAGGGTGGAAAGATGGGGGAGGAGGCGTCATCCTCCCCCCCTTCCCCTCCCCTCGCGCGGGTGTCTCCTCGCCTCGCCCCCTCCATCCTCTTCCCCTCTTCGCGACTCCCAGATCGTCCTCGTCAGGCCTCATCCTCATCCTCTTTCTGCTCATTCTGCATGGTCCTTCGGAGGAGGCAGAGGGCGCGCGCAGCCTCTGGCCCACCGCCCCCCCCCCCATCTCTGCATATCTATCTGCACCCTTTTCCAGGGCGTCGTCTGGCTCGGCGGGTTCCGCGAGCGGCCAGCCCGAACCCGTCGCCGTCGCCTCGCCCGTCGACCCCATCGCGAACATTCGCGCCTACGAGAGGATTGACAGGAAGTGGGTGCTCACGCGGTGGGAGTACGACAAGGTCGAGGTGAACTGGGATATGGTGCCGATCGACTTCATGGATGACCTGAAGGACGCGGCGGAGGAAAGGATGAGGCGCGAAGGAGGGCAGGGGAGTAAGGGCGAAGGGAGAGGAGTTGAGGAGGTAGGAAAGAGGAGGATGTTGGGTAATGTGTGGAGGAGGCCACTCCCTCCGCGCCCTCCACCCCCTCGCCGCGAGCCCTCGTCGCCCTTCTCGTCGCCGTCGTCGCCCGCGCCCCCCTGCATCCTCTTCCTGTGGCCTGGGCCTCGAACCGTAGACATCGTCAGCCCAAGGAGCTCATCCCGACGGCTGTGGAGGAGATCAACAACGGCGGGCTTCTCGACGCTCTGGACATCTTCAGTGGTTGCGAGGCGTTCAGCCAGACGTGTGCCAGGGCAGGCCTCAAGGTTGCAGGCGTGGACAAGCTGAACGGGCCAGGCGAGGACGTGCTGACTGCGGCGGGCAGGAAGCGGTTCACGGGGTCGGGGCACGTGGTATCATATCTATGTTCTTTTTTGTTTCGTCTCGTCCTCCTGCCCGTCTCCCTTCCGCCAGCCCCGCCTGCCCGCCCCCTTCTTAGAGGGCACTTGTTTCGCCAGGAATTCTTCCCTCGGCGATCTCGCCGGCCTGCCTGAGCTTTGCCTTCCCCTTCCACTGGGGGGGGAGGGGGGTAGGTTGGAACCCAAGGGATGGGGAGATATGAGATCGCCCCATTCCTTGGGGCTCTGGTATGCCCCTCTGGGGAGGCTCATCATGCTGGCCCTCCTTGTCAAAGATCTCGGGGTCGTTCTGGTGGGGCCGCCGTGCAAGTTCTGGATCTTCCTCACGCTCGGACTCACCAAGCGGAGCGCCCTCAATCCTGCAGGCGACGCCACGAACGCGTTCGCCAGGGAGGGCAACGCCATCGCCGATGCGGTCGCCAATTTCGTCCAGCTCGTGAAGGCTTCACCTCTCGCGCCTTTGTCACCGCCCCCCCCCACCTGCTACCCTGCTACCTTCCTTCCACTTCCTTCTCCTTCCTTATCTGCTCCCATATCCTCCTCTTTTCTCTCCTCGGGTCTTGGTCTCGGCGGCTCTGGCCTCAATCGCCCGATCGCACCCTCCATCTGCCCCTTGCCCCCTCGCCTGGCATGTCGGTCCGTCGCATTTCGCCCTGGACTTCTCGCTTGGGCCCTTCCCCCAGCGTCTCGGGGCGGGCGGGGGGCGCGCGCGGGCGAGAGGCCTTGCAGAAGCGCGTGGTGATCGTGATCGAGCAGCCAGCCAGCTCCTGGTTCTTCAAGTACCAGCCCATGGTGACGGTGCTGGCCAAGCACGCCTTTCAAAGGGCGGGGGCTGGGAAGGGAGGGGCGACCGACGTCGACGGCGATGGGCGACGGCGACGACGGCCGCGACGACGCGACGGCAACGCGCGGAGCTGCAGGGCAGACGACGACGACGACGGCGACGACCGACGCGACTTGCGACGACGATGACCTCGACGGACGACGACCCACGAACGACAGCGACTATTGACAGCGACGGCGGCGACAGACGACGCGTGCAACGGCGACGACCACAACGGACCGACGGATGGCGGGCAATGATGAGGATGGGGGAGGAATTGGAATAGAGGATGAGAAGGGGAGGGAGGAACACTAGGAGGATGAGAGATGGATGATGGCTAGGATGAAGCAGCAATGCAAGGATGATGGAAGGGGGTTTGTGACAATGGTCCATGGTTAGGCTAGTATCTTCTCCAGCACTGAGATAAAGGGCAGATTGGGCGCGGCCCTAAATCGGCGCAAATGGCGCGATGACATTCGCGCCTCGCGCGTCGCGGCCCACGCAGGGACATCAGCCCTTCCCCCAGGCGACCTCGCGCTGCGCGAAGATAACAGCGCGTCGCGCATCGTCGGGCGCGACGCGAGAAGGTAAGTGACATGGGGCTTGCGAGGTGTGTTCGAAGTTGAGGAAGGCGGTAGCAACTGAGCAGTGTGGATGGGTCGGGAGATCTCCTTCTGCATGGCAGCGTTCGGCCACTCGTCCATGAAGCCCACGGTCTGCTGGACGGACGCGCCGTGGGCCAAGCAGTTCGAGAGGGCCGCCAAGCAGATGATCAGCCAGATCAAGAAGGAGGAGAAGGACCAGAAGGAACGCTTGTACAGGGTGTCTGGCGCGCAGCGGCAGTGGACGAGCGGCAACAAGGCGACCCCCGCGAGCCAGGCGTACCCCGTGAAGTTCTGCGAGAAGGTGCTGTCGATGCACGTGTGGTGGCGTTGCAGGGTCATCAGCGAGGCCCTCATCGTCAAGGAATTGTGCTTGAACGGGGTTTTCGGCGAGCGCTCGGCCACGGTCGTGGCCGACATCCTCGGCTTCCTCTGAACGAGGGGGGGCCAACGTGTGAATAGAATATACGCGGCAGCGACCGTAACCAGTTCCGTTGTCCCTTGCGGCCGGTGGCCAGGGCTGATGGTGCAAGCGGACCAGCAGGGGCTGCGCGCAATCATCAGCCCCTTGAGGCTCAACAGAGGGACGGCGGTAATTGATTGCATTCGCTGCCGCAGGACTTTGCACGCTGAAATGCTGCGAGCGCGTTTAGAGGGAGACCTCGCGGCAGCGTGACGGGGCTCCCACGGCGCCGCGCCAACGGCGCCATAGGAGGAACACAGCAGGAGCCTCTCGCCAGGCTCGTCAGGCGACTGACAATGGCCGACGGCAGCGGCTTACATGGCAACGCAACGGCATCGGCCACGGCAGCGGCAATTGGCGACGACCACGGCACAATAAGCCACGGCCATTGGCAACGGCAGTTGGCAGCGGCAACGGCAACAGCACGGCCGATGTAACGGCCGCGGCCACGGCAACGGTAATGACTTGGTAAGGTAGCGGCCGCAGCAATGGTAAGGTGTCTGGCAATTGGCAACGGCAGCGGCTTGGCGACGACGACTGCGATGGCGGCAACGACAAGGCCATCCTCACGGTCCCCCTCCTGCTGCCTTCCCTCCAGCTCTTCATGCTCGTCTTCATCTTCGCGCTGCTGCCCGACCTCCCCTGACTTACGCCACCTCCTCAATTCCTGCTCGCCTGCCATCCTCCTCGCCACTGCGTCCGCCTCCTCGCCCAGAATCCCCCTGGTCCTCCTGCTCCCATGTGCTTCCCTCTCTTCTCCCTCTGTCTTGATGTCTTGCTGTCTTTGAGATGTCTTGATGTCTTTGTATGTGCTGTCGCCCATGCGGTAGTAGTCGCCCTCTTCGTCGCCTGTCGTCGTCGGCGTCCACCCTCGCTCATTGCCTGTCGCATGTCGCATGTCTCCTGTCGTCGTCGCCCGTCGTCCTCAGCCCGTCGTCCAACGTCTGGCTTGCTCCTCCCCCGCCGCCCCGCCACCTCAACTTCCGCCCGCGCGAGGCGCGGGGGCGCGCTTGGCCTGGGCCCTGTCCGCGCAGCTGGCGGAGCAGAGCAGGCGCCTTGCGGCCTTGCGGCAGCGCGGCAGCGGTCCCGCTGTCGCCCGTCGTCGCCCATTCCCACCTTCGAAGCGTCCTTCGCACCTCCCTCTCTCTTCTCATCCTTCCATCCCGTTCGCCTTCTTCCTCATCGGCCCTATCTTGCTTCTCCTCGCTGTCCTCCCCCGCGTTCTCCAGTTCTAACGTTCCTAACGTTCCTCCTCCTCCTCCTCTTCTCCTCCTCCTTCCCCCCCTCTTCCTCCTCCTCCTCTTTTTCCTCCCCTTCTCTCTCCTCCCTGTCCTACGTCTTAAGTCCTACTCTTCGTCGTCCCCCTCTCTCTCTTTACTTAAACATTGTTGTTGACGACCCCGCAGGTCGAGCAACTGGAATGGATTTTCGCAGGCACAAGGCCCATGCAGCTTGGGCCGACATGTGCCAAGTTGCGCGCGACCGCAAACTTGGGCGCTTCCTGGCCAAGGGGAGGCTCAGACACGTGGACGTCTGCCACATGATCCTGGCGACGTTCGGAGCTAGTGGAGATGACGCGCCAGGCTTATCAGTTCGTAGATTCGCAAGACAATTCAGAAGCTATTTATCAGAGCACCCTGAGCTCGGGGATTCCTACGACTCCACCACGGTGAGCCTCAGCATTTTGCCCCAGGTGGTGAAGCACTGGTGCCGCGTGGACATTCGAGAGTCTGACGTGGCCGGACTCGCCACCGAGCTGTCGCCTAAGCCCCCGTGCGCGCCTGATGGCCCTGCACCGATGGGGAGGAGGCGAGCTGTACGGAAGGCCAACGCCTTGGCAACGTTGGCCCCCCTCCCCGACATGTTCGGCGCCGCGGTGCCGGACGCAGGTGCCGAGCATGGTGAGCTACCGACGCCGCTGGCAGATGTGCATACCTACAGCCAGATGGTGAGCGTAGTCCCTCAGCCAGCTGATTCAGTCGTGCCCCTGGAGCTCCTTCGATATGCTGAATATACGCATGTGGACCTGCAGATGATGCTGTCCCGTCGTGATCGCGAGCTCGAGGCCATGAAGGCCGAATGCGCAGACCTGCAGCGGAGCCGAGCATACGATATGAATCGGACTCAGGAGTGGCTGCAGGTTACCAAAGACATGACACACGAATACCATCGCCTTCGAGACCAGCTTGACTTCAGACCAGGGGCCAAGAACATGTCGCCCTTTGGCGGCTACACCATTGCCCTTGGCCGCAACGCAGGTCACGCTAGCGCCTCGTCTGCCCTTGCGATGTTGGCGGGGTCCGAGGACAGGGGCGGCTTCCGATCTTACAACAGCGTTGTCAGGTATGAGCACAGGGCGGCGCTCGGACAGAAAATACTGCTCAAGATTTGCTACGACGAATTCCAGGCGAGTGCTGACATGGAAGTGCACTGCTTCAAGTTCGACGCGACGAACAGCGAGGCTCTGGAGAAAACCAAGATTCACACGCAGCTGCTGACGTCTTGGGCATGTCGGTCTGAATCATTGCCAGCCGCAGGAACTGCCAGCACTTTCGAGTCGTTCGCCCCCGTCATCTCCTCGGCCAGCAGTTGTCCAGATCTTCAAACAGTACATTTTGGCACTGGCGCAGAGACATACATGTTGGGATTGAAGGGGCTATATTCAGTGGGCTGCCCAGACTGGGAACAGCGAGCCACCGAAGCCGAGACGGACCAGCGACGCTTCTCGGTGTGCGTGTTTGGCACAGACGCGGGCCCCGACAACGTGGCCATGGGGGGGGTGGTCAGGGCGCGCCTTGCACGCGTGAACACGGTTGCTTTCACCATGACGTTCTGTTTCCTTCACCAGTGCCATCTTGCAGTCTTGACCATGCTGTCCATACTAGATGCGTTTGCATGGTTGACCCCCGTGGGCGCTGGCAGCCAAGAAGAAGCTTGTGGACCAGCAGGGCTGTGCGGGCTGAACACAAAATATTTTGCTGCAGTGGCGACCGTGGCCAACGCGTGGAGGGGCCCTGGAGTTTCGAAGAGGATGCGAGCTGCTGCGAGGTCGTTATACACTGCTCAGGTTGCAAATGATTATTTCGGACGGGTACCAGGCAGAGCGATGCGTGGGAGATGGGGCGCCATCGATGCAGTCGAGGCCCTCATCGTGGCAGGTGCTCCTTTCATTGGTCCAGTCTTTGCCGAGGTGTTTCCTCCAGCTGCTGACGCGAAGAAGCCCTCTGTGAAGGTCGGCTCCGCGGAGGACGTGCAGTATCGTGAAGAACAGAAAAAGTACAAGCGCAACGCTGTTGGATTTACTGGGTCGTCCTTGTTCCATGTTGTTGTCCTCATCTCCAGCGTTGCCAAGCAGCCGCTGACGCACTTCCTGCATTGGGTTCAGAAGGCTACCAAAGACTACAATGATGCAGTGAGGGAAGCGCGCGCGGCTGACCAGCGCGCGCCGTACCTGGGCCCCACGCCACTCAGCCAACTTACCACTGGCAAGGCTGCAGATATTGCTGAGGAGATCTCCAACTTGTTGGCCAGTGCAACGGAGAAAGACCACCACTACTGGGGCTCGTTGTGGGGGAAGCTTCAGACACCTCGGCTGCAACAACAAGCCCGCAGTCTCATCGTGCATTTGGTCCTGGCAGAAGCTTGCTCCTGGAAGCATCGTGTTATCGGTCGCCTGGGCGGGTTTCCATACCAGCTGTTCCATCTCGTGCGCGAGGGCGCCAACAAGCCTTGCGACCACAGGAACCGCGTCGCGGCCCTCCTCCTGGCCTCGAACGAGTGCTGCCTCACCCTGCCGTTCGACGACTTCACGTTGAAGCTGAAGCGGAACTTCGAGGCGGAACTCCGCGCTGCGTCACATTCTGGGCGTTGCCCGCCTCGCTTGTTCGCCGTCGTCATCATGTATCGAGCGGCGATGCCGCTCGATACGCAGGAGGTGGAGGGGATGAACAGCATTTTGAAAGTTATGTCAGAGAGAGCTCCCTACCTCAAGATTCCCTTAGCATCGGCGCGGATGTCGCCGACAAAAAGGTGAGCCTTCTACGCCAGGCGTGTTCGCCGACATGCACCGACAAATCATGGCAGAGGCCAAGAAGGCCGAGCACTCGGACATGGTGCGCTTCGACGCCGTCGACGTGCGCAACGCCCCGACCATCGCCCAGCCCGCGTTGTGCCCCCACCAGACTCCACGGGATCTCGCGAGTCGGCTCGCTTACGCGTTGGATGGTTACAAGCAGATCAACACCTCTGCGACTCATGTGGTATCTTGGGGGCCAGGTGCTGCTGTTGCGTTCCTCGCGCCATGGAGCTACGGGAGGTGCTTATGGACAGCAGCATGTGATGTGATGACGGTTGCTGGGCTGCGGTCGTTCAAGTTGCGCATCCCCTTGGAGGTTCAGCCGTTGCACGAGGCGCTTCGGTTTGCGCCTGCCACCGCAGCGCCAGCTGACGGCGGCCGACGGAAGCGCTGCCCTGTGATCACAGTTACTGAGGAGGAAATCATTTGGAAGACTTTGGATTTGGCGCAAGAAGCGGACGCCCCGCTGAAGACGATCATCCTGTCCAGGTCAGCTGCGAAGAAGACCGATTCACGCAAATCTCGGAGACATGTCGGCCGTCCAGACGGAGCAGCATCATCATCATCAGCATCTGGCGCGCTGCCCTTGCCAGGCAGCGAGGGGGAGCTGGGCGAGTCAGACGAGGACGCCGACTACGATGCGGAGGTCGTCGCCGAGCTCTATGGGGAGCTGAACGCCGATGCGGACGACGAGGCCGACGGCGATGCTGCGGCGACAGCAGTGGATCCAGGCGGTCACGAGTTGGAGCATGCAACTGACCATTTGCTGGACGAGCAAGGGCACGAGGATTTGCGCTGCGAGGACCCCGCTGGTGATGCAGATGACGACAGCGCCGCAGACGCACAGGACGAGGGTGCCACAGACGTTGAGAATCCGTCCGGCAGCGTCCTGCCCCAGGTCGACATGGCAACCTTGCGGGAAAGGCACGCGCTCGCGGTGAGGTCGGTTCAGGAAGCGCAGCGCTTGCAGAGAGACCAGACAGAGGACATGCACCCGCTCCTGCCTGGCGTGATATCCCTTGTGCGCATGCGTGAGACTGACGAGGTCATCTTCGTCAGGTGGGCCAAGGACGTCGGCGTGTGTCGCCCGCTCGCCCTCGATGCTCGTGGGGGCATCATCTACATCATTGGCTACGTGGTGCCGACGATGCAAATGACAGACATGCCTCACGATGTGCTCATCCGCGACACAGGCGCCATAATGTTGAAGGTGCGTGCGCACGAGCGGCCTCGCATGCCCGAGTGGTGTCTGACAGTGCAGAAGTACTATCGTGCTACCATCCACCCTGGTCCACAGCAGCCAGGCGCAATGGAGTGTTCTTGGTGCCTGTCCAGCGTTCCTCCAGAAGGCGTCCGAGGCGCAGGTGGCGACATGATGGTCTGCGCCACGTGCCTCTTGCCGTGGCACTTGGCCTGCGGTGCTTCCTTCGCTGAAGAACCAGAAGATGTTTTCCAGTGCCGCCTCTGCGTTGATGGTGGCGGCGCCGTGCCGTAGAGTGGCTCGGCGGGCCCGCGGGGCCCTTGTGGCCGTTTGCTGCAAGGCGAGCGGGTGCATGCTCAGTTGCATGAAGGTCAATGAACATTCACTTTTTTGTGTTTTGCACGTCGTCCTTGACGTTATCCTTGGGCTGGCCAACCACTACTGGCGCTGAAGCGGCGCTCGGCGACGAGGCCGCCGTCTTCAACCCCCACGACATTATCGTTGCAGGGGAGGAGCTGTCGTCGGGCGAGTGCGTGGGCGACGTGGTGCTGCTGACACTGCTGACCCCCATGTGCTCAGAAGGCGACCGCGACATTCAAACTGCGCATGCGCGTTTGAGAGCACACACATGCCGTGGTGGCACGATGCAGTATGTCAGGTGCGCGGCACGCGCGCGCGCTGATGAAGGCACGGGCGAATGAGCGCAACGCGCGCGCCGCTTGCCAGGGCGCGCGCGCTGCACCCTCCAACGCAACCGCGCGCGTGCACGCCACGGCGGGTGCACATTGCGTGCAATAGCACATCGTGGGCGCGCGGTGTGTTGTGCGTGCGCGTGGGCGCACGCACAGTGTTTTGCGTTGCCCCAGGCCTCGGCGCAAACGCGGCGCTTCGCGTCGCTGCCAGAGGCAGCAAATGCAATAGCGTTCTGATCTGGCCAATTGCGCCGCGCGCGCCCGCGGCGCCGAGGCGCGTCCATAGCGCGTGCTCGGGGCATTGCGCGCTCGCATGGCATGGGCCAGCGGGCCCAACAACATACGTGGCAAATGGGCCTACAGCCACGCCCGCGGCATATAGCTGGCTGCGTGTGCCACGCTTGTGGCATGGGGCAGCTGCCAGAGCCGCGGCGATGACGCGTAGCCTAGGGGGGCTGCCACGCGCGTGGCACGCGCGCTAGAGCAGCGCAGCGCCCGCGACATGTAGAGACGCCGCCACGTGCGTGACATGGCGCGGCGCGCGGCCTGAGTAACGCCCGAGGCACAGGACACGGGCCGCAACATCGTTGACGCGCATATAGCCTGGGGACGACGACATGCACGTGGCAAGCGTGCGCACGCAATGATACGTTCACGACAGGGCGGTATGCAGCCACCGTAGTGGCCAGACACGAACGGCGTGCGCCACGACTGTGGCATGGGGCAGGTACCACAGCCACAGCCGTGGCATATGCACCATGGGAGCTGCCGCATCCGCGGCTGCGCGACTGCTCATTGCCACGTCCGTGGCAGACGAGCGTTCAGCCACAGACGTGGCATGGCGCTAGCTGCCCAAGCCACGCACGTGGCATGCGGCAGCTGCCGCCGCCACGACTGTGGTACACGGCATGGGGGATATGCCACGCGCGTGGCAGGCGGGCCAGGTCACTGCCACGCAGATGGCATGCGCGCGCTTGCCATGCCACGCCTGTGGCACGGACGCTGCCGCAGCCGCGGCCGTGGCAAGCCACGTTCGTGGCACGCCGCGGCGGTGGCAAATCACCTTTGGAGCAGCCACGCCCGTGGTGCACATCGGCGGTTCCTGCCACGGCCGTGGCTGGCCCCCTGGGCCCTTGCCACGGCCGTGGCTTGCCGCCCTGGGCCCTTGCCACGGCCGTGGCTTGGCGCCCTGGGCCCTTGCCACGGCCGTGGCTTGCCGCCCCATGGGCCCTGCCATGGCCGTGGCAGCTGCCCTCTGGGAGCTTCCACTTTCCGCAGCTTGCCGCCGCCTGTCGAAATGAAGATTTGCGCTCGCTCGAGCACAAAAAAATGTAATTAATATACACACAACGCAACAACTAATGTAAAATGTCATGCTCGCAATCATTCTCGTCACCTTCCCCCTGCTCACAATCCTTATCCCCTCGCGCGCACGACGCACCGCCTGCGCTCTATATTTCGCGAGTGTGCAACGCGCGCTCCAGCATTGCGAACGCCGCGTCTCACGTGCAACGCGAGCGTGCACTTGCGCGTGCACGCGACGGCGCACGGGCGTGCGCGCCCACACACACACACTGCATTACATGTGTGCGCTGTAGCCGAGTCGTCGGCCTCGTCGTCGTAGTCGCAGTCGGCGCTGTCATCGCCATTGTCGTCCTAGTCGTCTGGCATGGGGCGTCAGTCGTCAGCCGTCTCCAGTTTGACTGTCGTCGCCGACGTCGTCGTCCATGGTCGACTTCGTCGAGGGTCCTTTCTCGTCGTCGTCGTGGTCTTCGTTTTCGTCGCAATCGTCTGCGTCGTAGTGTTCGTCGTTATCGGCGTCGTCGCCGTGTGCGTCGTCATCGTCGTCATTGTTGTCGTTGTCGCAGCCGACGCCGTCGTCGTTGTCGTGGTCGCCTCTGTGCCCCTGCCCCCTGCGGCCGCTGCGAGGCGACCTGCGTCGGCATCGCGATGACTGCTGCCTACCGCGCGGGGTGCGGCCCCTCCGACCTCTTCGACGCGACTGGCACGTTCCACGACGTGCGCGAGATATTCGCAGATGGTTCGCTGGATATTGAAATCATGAACGCGATCGATGCGAGCCCGTGCCTAGTGCACGCCAACTACAGGCTCCAGCTCGTGGACAGCCAGGGCCACTGGGCCGTCACTCGCTCTCCAGCCAACCAGAGAGGTCAACGGGGTCGGCGAAAGCGGCGCCGACGTTGGCCGACGGGGGAAAGCCGGACAGGGGGGGGGAACTATAAGGAAGGTGGGGGGCATGGGAGAGACACGGGGGCTCATGGAGGCTGTCGGGTTGGAGCGGTGACGGATGGTGGGGGGGGGGGAGGACAGACGGATTGGGGTAAACGGGGCAATTTGGCGGGAGGAGGCGATGGGAGTGACGGGGGAAGCAGTAGGGGGAGGGTGGAGGGAGGATATTCGTCATTTGCCCATCCGTCATGGTCAAGCGTAATTGTATGTCGTCGTGCGTCTGCTGCCATTGTGTAGCGTCCGTCGCCGATTCGCCCCCTGAGCAGGCGACCTGAGCTCCCAGCTCCAGAGGCAGAAGAGCGTGGAGTCGGTGGGCATCTTGACCGAGCTGCGGGGCGGGGCGTGGGTGACGCAACACGAGGACCCGAATGAGCATGAGAAGTTCTACACCGAGCACTTCGCTACGCTGTGCGAAGGACAGCGGCTGGGCCCCAAGCGTACCACCCCCTTGCTGTCATTAAATATTTCATATATTTACGAATGCCCATACTCCGATCTGATGCTGGCGCCTTCCTACTTCAGGAATCGTTTGTCTCGAACTTTAGTTGCGGGTCGCTTAGGCGGGCCAGCGCGGCCAACGCCGTTTCTTAAATGCGTCATGTTTCTCCTGAGATCATTGGGTGGCAACGAGTCCTTGCAGACTGCATCACATCGTGGCTCGCGCCCTTGCATCCTTGGAGCCTCGGGAAAGCAGTTGCCTCCGAGGGGTCAGATATCTGCGCCTCATGCTCGCGCCAAAATTCTTGGAACCTCATGTCCTGCACGAGCAATGTTGCGATGGGCCCTGGGGAAAGGAGCGGGGGCGATGTGGCGGGCGTCCAGCGCGTCTGGCCCTTCATCGCCCGCTCGTTTCATCGTCGCCCTCTCCTGCCCCCACTTCGCCCGCTCTCATGATGCGGGGCCCCGTCGCAGGCGCAAGGCGCGCGTGGGAAGCCGACGTCAAGAAAGAGAACAGAGCTGTCCAGGACGTTGCATTGGGAGCCTCCAACTTCTCCAGCCCCCTCCCCCCCCCTCCCTCAGCTGCAACAGGGGATGCGCGCGCTTGGGTGTTAGGGGCAATAAGGCCCCAACCAACGGGGTCGCTTGGGGAAGGGTGGTAGACGTGGGCATCTGGAGATTGCGCAGCTCTCCTCCCGCTCATCCGTCTTTCACTCCCACCTGCCCTGCACTCATCCTATCGCACCGACCCGCCCCTCCTCCCTTCCATCCCCACTCCCCCAACGTCTGGGGCAAGGCCTGCGAGTGGGCAGAGGTCTCGGGGGCTGCTGGGTTTGGCCCGCGGGCGCCCATGCGCCGCGTCCCCGTTGTCGACGTTGCTTGTTCCTGATTTCTTGGGTGTCCCAGTACAGCGTCTCTTACGGCATCCCGAACAGTAAAGTATATTCTAGGAAGTGCGCCATGTTTGTTCGAGATCCTTGTTTACATGGGGAATCGCTTCAACAAGGACGTGACGGTGACGACCATACTTGAGGTTTTTCGGAGCACTCAGGTCGTAGAGGCCACGTGGGCTCGGAAGAAGAAGAGCGGCACGTGGATTGAGGGCCAGCTCAAGGGTAGCAAGGACAGTTTGAAGTACGAGCTTGCGAATGCCCTCTTTCCCGCGCGCTGGCCGTCCTACCACAGCTACGAGCTGTGCCAAATATTCTACAAGGAGCCGCGGCGGAGGCAAACGGGATAGGGGGCAGGAAGCACTAGGGTGCACAACGTTCTCGGAGAACGGTGAGGAGGAGGAGGAGGCAGGACGCGGAGGAGGAGCCCGATGAGGAGGGAAGCATGGGGGGCGACGAGGAGGATTGCTCCTTGTTGTGGTCGTAGTCGCCCTCGTCGAATCGTCGGAGTCGTCACCGCAACGGCTGTGGCGGCGATGTCCGTCGCCAGTGTCGCGGCGACGTCGGCGCGACGGTGGAGCGCGACGGTTCGGGCCGCTCCCCCCCCCGAGGACGCCCAGACCAAGAAGATGAGTCCGCTGGAGCGCTTCGGGAACGCTGAGACTATCTGGGACGCCCTAGTGCACGTCGTCCAGCAGGAGGTGGACCTGACCTGCGGCGACGCGACACACTACGACAAGATCATCCACGTGTGCTACGAAGTGTTCAGGATCCGTTTGCTCGCACTGGTACCCCCCCTCCTCTTCATTTGCAGCGCTCTCACTGGCAATGGAATGGGGAACGGCGCGGAGATATGTTAGCGGCGCGGGCGGCCGGGCGACTGGAGGGGGAGGGGCGGGCGACTGGAGGGAGGGGGGATAGAAGGGGGAGGAGGGCGAGG